TATATATATATATATATATATATATATATATATATATATATATATATATATATATATGTGTGTGTTGTGTGTTATGGAAGTTAAATAACTTTCCATGTTATTCTAATTTTTTGGAAAGAGTCTGTATATAGGAATGGTTCAATGTGTATATAGGATTGATTAATCGTATGTATAGGAATGGTTAAATGTGTATATAGGAATAGTTAAATGTTTATATGGGTGGCACGGTGGCGCAGTTGGTAGAGCTGTTGCCTCTTAATGAGAATGTTGCCCGTTCAAATTTCGGCCCTGGACCTATCTGGGTGGAGATTGTATGTTCTACCTGTATATTGTCTATGCTGCGTGGGATTTCTCTGGGTACTCTGTTTTTTTTCCACAATCCAAAAACATACGTTGGGCTGATTGGTAACTCTAAATTGTCCCTGGGTGAGATGTGAGAGAGTGGATTGTTATTTGTCTCTGTGTCCCTGTGATGGATTAGAGACCTGTCCAGGGTGTCCCCCGCATCTCACACAGTGACTGCTGGTTATGTGCACCAGTGACCCCGTGACCCAAAAAGGAAGAAGCGGATAAAGATTATGGATGGATGGATGTCAGTTTGGAGCGGTCCTACTAGTTTGTTTGTGGTTAGATGTTGGCAGAGCTTAAACTGGTCTTCTTTCTCTTGTTGCAGCAAACATCGGCACAGTGAGGTCATGTCCAACCCAGTCTTTTCCTACTATCAAGGGGACAGGATGCTTCACTTTTATCGTTGGACCTCACCACCAGGTGTGATGAAGATAATGAGTATAATAATCATCATCATGTGCGTGGCTGTGTTTGCCTGCGTGGCCTCAACTCTGGCCTGGGACTATGATGCGAGCACGTTGGGAGGCGTAATTCCAGGTATGGGATCATACAGTCCAAACAGCGGCTCCTATGGTGGCGCGTATGCTGGCTCTTATGGAACCAATTATGGCACCTCCTACGGTGGCAGTTATGGCAGCAACCTTGGCGGTGCCTATGGACAGTATAGTAATTATGGGGGAACACAAATTGATCAAGTTAGTGGAAAAGGCTTCATCATTGCCATAGCTGCACTCACTTTTATTGCTGTGCTTGTCATCTTCGTCTTGGTGGTTTCAAGACAGACTGCTGCCCGTTCACCCAAGTTCTATCTGGCTACCATCATTATTTGCGCCATCTTGGCTTTCCTTATGATCATCTCCAGCATTGTGTATCTTGTGGCGGTGAATCCAATGGCACAAACGTCATCATCCCTGATGTACAACCAAATGATTCAGCTGTGTGCGCAGTACCAGAACCAGCCCCAGGCCCAGGGTCTCTTCATCAACCAGTACCTCTACCATTACTGTGTGGTTGAGCCCCAAGAGGTAGGATTATACACTTGTTTTGTTTCTCTCAGAAGATGTGGTTAATAAACACTGTTACCAAAAAACTCACACAAACAGTAAATGAGTTAAAGAACTGTGGGTTGTATGAATAAATGTGTTTTATGTTCTTATTGTCAAGGTCAGTTTGTTTGTATAGAATTTTACAAACAAGGGCTTCACAGCAAAAATGGCAGTGCAAAAATTATTCTTTCCGCTTTTCCCTCTTCAGGGGTTTCCACAGCGAGTCATCCTTCTCCATCTCACTCTGTCCTCTGCATCCTCTGTCCTCACTCCGACTACCTCCATGTCCTCTCTAACTGCATCCATATATCTTCTCTTTGGCCTTCCTATTTGTCTTTTTCCTGGCAGCTGCATTTCTAACATCCTTCTGCCAAAATACCCAGTGTCCCACCTCTGGACATGTCAAAACCATCTCTGTCTGGCTGCTCTAACTTGATCTCCCATAGCTCAACCTGTGATGTGCCTCTGATTATCTCATTCCTAATCTTATCCATCCCTGTCACTCCTAAGCAGAACCTCAAAATCTTCATTTTTGTAACTTCCAGTTCTTTCTCCTGTCTTTTTGCCACTGTGTCCAGACCATATAACATAGCTAGTCTCACCACTGTCTTGTAACCTTTTCCTTTGACCTTTACGGACCCCTTTTGTCACAAATCACTCCTGCAACTTTTCTCCATCCGCTCAACCCTGCTTGGACTCTCTTTTTCACCTCTTTACTAGACTTCCTTGATCCTGTCAACCTGGACACTCTTCAGCCATATCTTAAGCAGTCTGATAAAAATCTCGGGATGGTTTTAGACTCTGACTTCAAGTTTGACAAACAAATTAACTCTGTTCTGCAGAAAAGCTTCTTCCAACTAAGACAGGTAGCTAAGCTCAAGCCAGTGTTGTCCAGACCCAACCTTGAGAAACTAGTCCACGCCTTTGTCACGACCCGATTGGACTATTGCAACGCACTGTATGCTGGGTTCAGCCAGGCCTCCTTATCACGTCTTCAGCTCGTCCAGAATGCTGCTGCTCGGCTTTTAACCGGAACTCGTAGGTCTGAACATATTACACCAGTTCTGTCCTCCCTTCACTGGCTCCCTGTTCCTACGAGGATAGTTTTTAAAATTCTTCTGCTGACCTTCAAATGCCTAAATGGCCTCGCACCCCTTTACCTCTCTGAGCTACTGGAACCTTACGTTTCCTCTCTGGCCCTGAGATCATCCGATCAGCTGCTTTTGGCTGTTCCAAAAACAAGACTGAAGCTCAGAGGAGATGGGGCTTTTTTCAGTCATGGGCCCCAAACTCTGGAACAACCTACCCACCAACATCAGGCAGGCTACCTCCCTTCCTCACTTCAAATCTCTGCTAAAAAGACATCTGTTCTCGCAGGCATTTCACACAGTGTAAATTGATCTAGTGTTTTTTTTTAATCTGTGACCCTATGTTTTAAATGCTTTTTATTATTTCTTCAGTTATTATTATTACTGTATTCTATTTTTTCTCTTTAATTTTACTCCCATTGATTGTTGTTGTTGTTGTTTTTGTTGTTAAGCACTTTGATAACGGGTTCTGTTTTAAATGTGCTTTATAAATAAAGCTGACTTGACTTGACTTCCCATTTTCCTGGACAGTGGACCCCAAGTACTTGGAAGTCCTGCACTTTTGTGACTTCTGCTCCTTGTAGCCTCAGTGTTCCACCAGCCTCTCTCTCATTTGCACACATGTACTCTGTCTTACTACGGCTGACTTTCATTCCTCTTCTCTCAAGTGTATAACTCCACCCCTTCAAGTTCGCTTCCACCTTTTTCCCTGTTCTCACCACAGATCACAATATAATCAGCAAACATCATAGTCAATGGGGATTCCTGCCTGCCCTCATCTGTTAGTTGGTCCATCACCAGAGCAAACAAGAATGGGCTCAGAGCCGATCCTTGATGCAATCCCACCTCCACCTTGAAGCCATCTGTCACTCCTACAGCACACCTCACCACCGTTATGCTGTCCTCATACATGTCCTGTACTAGTCTAACAGACTTTTCTGCCATTCCAAATTTCCTCATGCAATATCACACCTCTTCTTTCGACACCCTGTCATATGCTTTTTCTAAATCCACAAGACACAATGGGGTTCTTTCTGACTCTCTCTGTACTTCTCCATCAGCATCTTCAAAGCAAAGATGGCTTCTGTGGTGCTCTTTCTTAGCATGAAACCGCTGGTATGTCAACAGGTCCTACTGCCTTCCCTTTCTTCATTCGTTAGAGTTTTCCAAACTTCACCCTCACTAATCTTTCCCACTTCCTGATCCACAGTTTCTATGACCTTTACTTTTCTTTCTCTTTTATTCTCTTCAGTCATTAGCTCCTCAAAGGATACCTTCCAGCGTCTCGTCACACTCTCCTCACTTGTTAAAACATTCCCATTCCCATCTTTAACAAGCCTAACCTGTTGCACATCCTTTCCAGACTGATTTTCAGACTGATCTTGCCAATCGATACAAGTCCTTCTTGCCCTCTTTAGTGTCCAGCCTCCCATACAACTCATCATATGCCCTCTGCTTTGCTTTTTCCACCTCCCTCTTTGTTCTACATTGCATCGTCTTATATTCCTGTCTCCTCTTTTCAGTCCTCTCACTGTCATAATTTTTCTTGGCTATCCTCTTTCTTTGAATAGCTTCCTGCACTTCACAATTCCACCACCAGGTTTCCTTATCATCCATTCTCTGTCCAGATGACACACCAAGTACCTTCCTGCCTGTCTTTCAAATTACTGTTGTTGTAGTAGTCCAGTCGTTTGGAAGCTCTTTCTTACCACCCATTGCCTTTAACAGCTCATCTGTGAATTTCTCAACACGTTCTTCCTTCTTCAGCTTCCACCATTTGGTCCTTTTCTCTGATTTTACTCTTTTTTTTCTTCACAACAACAGTGATTCTACACACAACCATTCAATGCTGTTTGGCCGTGCTCTCCCCTACCACAAGCTTACAACCCCCAATCTCCCTCAGGTTTCCTCTTCTGCACAGAATGTAGTCAATCTGTGTACTCCTGCCTCCACTCTTATATGTCACTCTTATGTTCCTCCCTATTTTGGAAATAGGTGTTGACTACAGCCATTTCCATTCTCTTGGCAAAATCCACCACCATCTGTCCTTCCTGGTTTCTTTCCTTGACACCAAACCTACCTATCACTTCCTTATCCCCTCCGTTTCCTTCACCAACATGTCCATTCAGGTCTGCTCCACTCTTCTCCCTTGGAATACTGTCATCACTTCATCCAGATCTTTCCAAAATGTATCTTTCTCCTCCATCCAACTTCACATTCAAACTGTGGAGCATAACCACAGACAACTTTTAGCATCAGACCTTTTACTTCTACCTTCAGACACATCAACCTATCTGACACTCTTTTCATCGCTACTGCATTGCCAACTCCTCCTTCAGGTCCACCCCTACTCTATTTCTCTTTCTAGCCACACAAAAATAACAATATAAAATTATACGAAAAAATCTCAGAAGACCAACACATCTGATCAGCTGACCAGAGGGACTGGAAGGAGGAATAGAGGTTTAGGGGGTTAGAAATGGACTATTGCAATGGTTTATTATCTGGGTGTCCAAATACTTCTTTAAAAATAATTAAGTTAGTACAAAAGGCTGCTTCCAGAATCTTAACTGGAGTTAGTAGGAGAGATCATATCTCTCCAGTTTTAGCTTCTCTCCATTGGCTCTCTGTCAAAGTCAGAATTGCATTCAAATCTTACTTCTGACTTAAAAAGTTCTCAACAACCTAGCTCCATCTTATTTTACAGATCCTATTGTTCCATATTTTCTTAACAGAGCACTTTTCTCTCAGTCTGCAGGTTTACTTCAAGGATTCAAGGTTCTTTATTGTCATTCATATCACATGTGGTACATAAGACAAAACGAAATTGTGTACACAGGGTCCCATTTACATGCAAAAATAGCCAAAATATTAAGTGTAAAAAGAAACAGTAAATAAGGATCTAAGATATAAATTAAGATATACGCTAAACAAATGCCAAACGGTATGCATAAAGATCTAAGATATATGCTAGTCACTAATAGTGCAAAACAATACACCGAACAGCAGCACAATTCTCATAGGTTCGGTTTGGCTATAATTTACACACTTAATGCAAGCTCTAACTTAAACTAAACTAATATAAAGTAGGATTTATTCAAAGCATGCAACAAAAATACAGAAACAAGATGCCAAAAATGAAAAATAAATAAATCTACAGCAGCATGGTCTTATTGGCAGAGTGGTTCTGATGGCAGTGAAGTTATCTTCGTAACATGGTCCAGTTTGCAGCATGATACTGTTAGCAGTGAGGATCAGTTAGCAGTGAGGTTTCTCAACATGTTACCATTGGCACCATGGTACTGTAGGCGGTGTGGTTTGGTTAGCAGCGTGGTCTTGTAAGCAGCGTTAGCAGGTCTTGTTAGCAGGTCCCTTCAGCAGCATAATGATAAGGACTGCAACAGCTACCTCCCAGACTGCCCTTCAGAACCAGCTCCAGCAGAGAACATCCAAGGTTCTCTCGCGGAACCAAGCGGGTCCGCAGCGTTCAGTCCATACAGGCAGACGAAGGATCTTGTTAGCAGCGTTAGTAGGTCTAGTTAGCAGGTCCCATCAGCAGCCCAATGGTATCAATAACTGCAGCAGCTGCCCTCCCAGGCTGCCCTCAAGAACTGGGGTCGGGAGACGGAGAACACTCAGGTTTCCCCGCGGAACCGAACGGGTCTGTAGAGTTCGGTCCATGCAGGCAGATGGAGAATCATGGACACAGCTGCCATGACAGGCCTGAGCCTGAGGCTGGAAGGACTGAACCACGATGGCATGATGGCAAGGCAGCGACACAGAAAACTCCACAAGTGTGTTGCGGTCATACCCGTATCATGGATGTGCTTTGTAGATGCAAAAAAAAGTTTAAACAAAAACAACAGGAACCAAAAAAAGATGAAGTTCACCGGGAGCCTGTGAAGGTGCGGCTCGGCTGAGCGTGGCCATCTTGGCCATCTTGTGGCCATCTTGCAGCTCCTAGAGTTTCCAAAAGCAGAATGGGAGGAAGATCTTTAATTTATCAGGCTCCTCTCTTGTGGAACCAACTTCCAGATCCTGTCTGTAAGGCTGATGCATTGTCCAGTTTTAAGACTAGACTTAAGACTTTCCTTTTTGATAAATCCTATAGTTAGGGTTGGCTTGTTATGCTACCATACGCTTAGACTACTAGAGGACAAATTGTCCTAATTTCCTTAAACAAATTGTTAAAGTTGACTAGTTTTCATTTGATACTATTTCTAGCTAAATGTGATTCTTGACCTGCCATTGTGTATCTGTTCCTCCTTCCTGTTCCTCTCAAACAGAGCTGGCTGAAGCAGATGGCAGCTTGTCCTGTCTGGTTCTGCCAAAGGTTTCTTCCTCATGAGGGAGTTTTTCCTTTCCACTGTTGCCTTCCTGCTTGCTCAAGATGAGAGTATTGCGAGGGAGTTAAATTCAAAGCAGTCTGATCCTCTGATGGTGTTAACTAGGGGTGTAACGGTACGCTAAAATCACATTTCGGTTCGGTTCAATTTCAAGGAGGGCTCTGTTCAGGTAATTTTTGGTACAAAAAAAAGACAAAATAAAGACTTACAAATCATTTATTTTGAAAATATGCCAAGTAAACAATACGTTTGTATAAAAATAAATAAAAGTGACCCATTTGGATGATATTTTAAATAAATGGCACTCTTTACAATAAATAAACTATACTACAATAATGAAAATCTTAAATACAATAACAGTCAGAACCAGAACAATCAACAGCAACAGACTCTTTACAATCTAACTAGTCAAATTTAAAGTTTTTGGTCAAAAAGACCAACTTTTCTACATTTTCTGCCAAAAGCATAGATCTAGTTGCAGTGACATTATCTCCAGCGGTGGAGAAAACAGCTCACCAACAACAGTAGCAGGAATAGAGAGGTAGAGCTTTGCTAAGTCTGGCTGTATTTTGGCCTCTTTACTCACAGCCTCTTGGACCTGCTCCCACCTGTCCCTGGAAAAGTTCAGAATTCAATCACAGACTTCTTAGCTGGAGGTGATCTCTGGTGGATTTCCCTGCTATCTTTTTAATATGGCAAATGTCAATATTTTATTCGTAATATAACATAGATGACAGATCAAAAGTTTAATCTGAGTAAATGTAACATTTTAAAGGAAAAATATGTTGATTCAAAATTTCACAGTGTCAACAAATCCCAAAAAAGTTGGGACAAGTAGCAATAAGTGGCTGGAAAAAGGAAATTGAGCATATAACGAACAGCTGGAAGACCAATTAACACTAATTAGGTCAATTGACAACATGACTGGGTATAAAAAGAGCTTCTCAGAGTGTCAGTGTCTCTCAGAAGCCAAGAAGGTAAGAGGATCACCAATTCCACCATTGTTGCACAGAAAGATAGTGCAGCAATACCAGAATGGTGTTACCCAGCGTAAAATAGCAAAAACTTTTAAGTTATCATCATCAACCGTGCATAACATCATCAAAAGATTCAGAGAATCTCTCTAAACTTGAGAAACTGGTCTCCTCTGTCCCCAGACGTCTGTTGAATGTTGTAAGAAGAAGGGGGTATGCCACACAGAGGTAAAAATGGACTTGTCCCAACTTTTTTGGGATTTGTTGACGCCATGAAATTTGGAAACAACAGATTTTTCCCTTAAAATGATACATTCTCTCAGTTTAAACTTTTGATCTGTGATTTGTGTTCTATTCTGAATAAAATATTAGATGTTGGCACCTCCACATCATTGCATTCAGTATTTATTCACAATTTGTTTAGTGTCCCAACTTTTTTGGAATCCGGTTTGTAAAATACACCAGATTGCAGCAAATGCAGCAAAACATCAGCTAGAAATACGCTAAGCACTAATAGCATAAAAACAATAAACACAATACGCCGAACAGCAGCACAAACATGAGTTTGTGTGAGCAGATGAGCACGAATGAACACAGCAACATGAAACGGATCAGCAGCTACTTGATGTGATTTTTTTCACAGTGATTATTCTGGTTAGAGATTCATGAGTCTAACAGCCTCAGGGTAGAAGCTGTTCCTCAGTCTAGTGGTTCTACACTTAATGCTCCTCAACCTCCTTCCTGAGGGGAGCGGGGCATAAAGTGTGTGCTGGGTGAGTGGGGTCCTTCATGATGCAGATGGCTCTCTTCCTGCATCTAGAGGTGTGATGGTGGAGAGGCTGACTCCAACATCTTCTGTGCAGCCTTCACTCTCTGCAAAGCTTTTCTTTATGCAGCCGTGCAGCCTCCATTCCACACGTTGATTCTGGAGCACAGGATGCACTCCACTGCACACCTGTAAAAGGAGGTGAGGACTGAGCTTCCAGACCAGCTCGCCTCAGCCGCCTGAGGAAGTAGTCACTGATGAGCTTTCTTAATCATCCTGGTTGTGTTGTTGCCCCAGCTGAGGTTGTTATTCAGGTGCACACCCAAGTACTTGTAGCTGGAACACCTGCTAAGATGAAATTTACTCAGTGACTGTGTAGTCATTTAATGTAAACTCAAAGGTTATTTAAAAATGGTCAGACAGAAAAGAATTTTGAGGAACTATTACTAAATCATTAATCTTTATGCTATAAGTCAGAACCAGATCAAGAGTGTGATGATAAGAATGAGTAGATGTGCGGATGTTTTGGGTCAAACCAAATGACTGTATTAAATTCCAAAAAAGTTCAATCTGGTCCTCTGGACATTCAAAAAAAAAAAAAAAAAGCAAAAAAATCTAGAAACGTTTCGTCTCTCATCCAAGAGACTTCCTCAGTCTGAGGCGCTGTTTTCAGCTCAGTCTCTTAAATAGCACCTTCTCAGAGTGGATCAACCAGTTTGCTGCTGACAACCAAAACCAGCTGATCACATGGTCAAGAAGGACCATCAGCCTAACAATGGATCATTAGCACACTGATGGCTGTTTACTGTTCACAGAGGGCTGAGTGATACTAGTGAGTGATCTGTGAATAGTAAACAGCCATCAGTGTGCTAATGACCCATTGTTAGGTTGATGGTCCTTCTTGAGCATGTGATCAGCTGGTTTTGGTTGTCAGCAGCAAACTGGTTGATCCACTCTGAGAAGGTGCTATTTAAGAGACTGAGCTGAAAACAGCGCCTCAGACTGAGGAAGTCTCTTGGATGAGAGACGAAACATTTCTAGATTTTTTTGCTTTGTTTTGTTTTTTGTTTTTTTTGAATGTCCAGAGGACCATATTGAACTATTTTGGATTTTTCTACCTGGATTATTGAGCATGCATCAGGATACTGTATTAAATTATTAAAGGCTATGCTTTAGCTATCACTTTCAACATCTACATGAATATTGAAATCACCCATTTTGATGACTTTATCAGTATTTAATAGTAAGTCAGTTAAGAATTCTGAGAATTCAGACAAAACTGAGCGTAAGCGCCTGGTGGACGATATATAACAACTAGTAAAAGTTGCTTTTCTGATTTCCATTTTGGATGAGAAAGACTGAGGGACAGTGATTCAAAAGAATCATATCAAATAATTTGTTTAACATTACTCAATAATCCTGACTGAAAAATAGAAGCTATTCCTCCACTTGTATCTCCCTCCCACCCCCTGCCCCCACATTACAAATTCTCTGACATCAATGGCAACAGCATTGTTCAAGCCAAGAGCCATTGTCAGCACTGGGGACTGAGCACCCCTAAAGGCCAAAGTCTAGAATCACCCCTGATTTTGATGAGAGTTTTACTTGTTCCCTCAGACCCAGTAGTCATTAGCCTGTGTTTGGTGTCAGCTCCAGATAGTTCAGAAATGTTCTGTGCCTATTAATGCCATGCTGTTTGACCTGATCTGTGTTGTTTCTGCAGGTCATAGCCATTGTCCTGGGCTTCCTGGTGTTTATTGCCCTCATCATCCTGCTGGTGTTTGCTGTCAAAACTCGTGGACAGATCATGCGCTGGGGCCCGGAACGAATCCTCTGGGAGGAAGTAAAGGTCGTTAATTCTGGTCATAAGAACAGTGTTGGAGAGTGGGTGAGTCGGAGTTACAAGTTATTGTTAGTTTGTCTTTAAAATGATAAACAGTGAGAAGAGTTCCAATATCAAATCCCTTCTGCTCAATGAGGAACATTTAGGTTTAAGTCTTTTTTCATTTAAATCAAATTAAAATGTGTTGTAAAATCAAGATGTTCTTTTGATGGATGTGTGCAACTGAAATGGACGGAGTTTGGTGTAACTTGAGCGTGTGTGTGTGAATAATGTAGGAGGTGAGTTGACATCAGGTATTTGGTAACTTGTACAAATGTTCAACAATATGGTCATTATGATCATTTCTGAAGTGATGTTCTAATATAAAAAAAAAAGGTTTGTAAACTCAGTCATCCAGGTACATAAATCACAATAAAAGATTAAATCATGTCATCTGGACAGTTTCTTTTTGGGAGAAACATTTCGTCATTGGCCATCAGGCCTAAAACATTTTGATCATTATGCATGATGATTGATTGTTTTGGACAGATGGTCCTTTTTGCACGTATAAATTCAGTTTCTGGGAATTCCATGGAGGGCTGGCTTGAAACACCTCAATGAGGTGCTGTTTATAAGACGATTCTTGGTGGCAGGCCTCAGACTGATGAAGTCTTTTGGATGAAAGATGAAATGTTTCTCTGTCTAAGGGTTACCGATAGTTTGTATCTTATCAGCCATGAGCTGAGTCCAGGAGCAGAGAGTCTGCAGAAAAGGTCATGTTTGTTTGTCAGGGCTAAGTTGAGCTCTGAGCTCAGGCCTCAGCTGATCAGTCACTCGTTGGCTTTTAGGATTTAATATCTGATGGAGTCATCTGCCCTGTCAGGACAGTAGTCTGTATGGTGACATGGTGACTGAAGCTGACTGCTAGTCTGGTGAATTATGGGTTATATTTAGGGAGACTGTGTGATTTGAAATCTATACAGTGTCCTACAAATATTAGAAACACTAGCTTATGTTTGTGTTCACATACACACACCTGTCAGAGCTGGATGATTTCAGGTGGAGTTTCTGGGTGTGGTCTGTTTAGCCTCAGTTTCAGGATGAAGTCTGTGTGTGTGTGTGTGTGGGGGGGGGGGTGTGGTTGTGGGGGGTGGGGATGTTTACAAACACAATCTACATTAATTTTCATGAATTATGACAGACTGGAAATGAGTCAAATGAAGATCTGAACCTTGAGCTGAGCTTCATGTTAAGATTGAACCTTCAGTCCTGTTTATTTATTTATTTATTTCAGTTTATTTAATGCAAATCCAACAACAAAACTGGTTTCAGGTCAATGGACAGAACGTTCACATTATAACATTCCATAAGAATGATCTGTGGAATGAAACCAGCAGATTGTTTTGAATCTTGGGCTCCGACTCTCGGACGTTCAGAGTTCCTGCAACAGACTGGACGGAGTCGAAGAACTGGTCGGTCCTGCTGACCGGGTCGTCCACTCAGGATGTTTATCATATTACCTGTGAGATGGAGCCTCAGGAAGACAGACACCTGAAGGAAGTTCTTATTACATCTTGATAAAAAAGAAGCTGAAGTCAAATCTTCACGTTTTCAGTTATTTTTGCACATTTTTAACATCTAAAAAAAAAAAAAAAAAAATTAATAAAATTAAAATAAAAAAATTTGTAAGCCCCATCATCCAGGTAGATACATCACAAAAAAAGTTGAACTGTGAGAGAGCACAAACTATCCAGATGACATGATTGAACTTTTTTGTGCTCTAAATACGTTTTCAGTAAATTTAGACGGTGTGGACATAAAAAGACAACTTTATACAAAGTTAAGCAACAGTGTCAGCGTTGTTTTATGTAACGACCTGAGTCAGGGTAAGAACACATGCTGTCTATGATGTTGTAGAGGTTGACACCAGATATTTCTGGTATGACCGAGCAGTATATATATATGTGTGTGTGTGTGTGTGTGTGTGTGTGTGTGTGTGTGTGTGTGTGTATATATGTGTGTGTATATATACGTGTGTGTGTCAAGTAGGTATCTCTGCAGCCAAATTCAGAAGGCGTATCTGGGCGGTCATATCTGATTGGACTATAGGAAAATGGGCGTGTCTGGCCGGCCGCATCTGATTGGACGATAGAAAAATGGGCGTGTCTGGTCGGCCACATCTGATTGGACGATAGAAAAAAAGGCTGAACGATAAAAATGCCGTAACCACAGACACATTATGTCTAAAAACAAGGTGTTATTGGCAGATTGTGTTAACCACAGGCATATTATGTCTATGGTGTTAACCGGTTCGACATTAGCGGCGTCTCAGGTTCAACATTGGTGGCGTCTCGATTCGACATTAGCGGCATCTCCATAACTTCTTTTTCCGCCTCTTAACACAGAACTTCCGGTTAAATTTCAAAATAAGAGCAACATAACTGTGTAGTGGGGAGAGCCAAATGTTAGTTTTTTTTAATACCTAGCCATAACATTAAAAAACAAATTCCATTTTGGTTGTTGAAAAATGTGAAAAAGGTTACAATCGATTCATAAAGAAAAATATTAATGATACTTAAACTGGCCTTGGGACTAAGGATGTTTCCTTTAACTTCACATTTTCTTGTTCAACCTGCAGTCACTGCAGATGAGTGATTGTCAGTTTCTGTCAGATTTCTGCAACTGGAGCAGGTATTTCTGTTTACTGGTTAACTTCCTCAGCTTTCTCACATTTTAAAGGTCAACCCTACTCCATGTTTCATCTCCTTTCATAGATCACATCTCAGAGAAGAACTTCTAAAGAGCAAATTTTGTTTTTAGCTTTTGTTTTGGGCCATTATGTCATTACAGGGCTCGTGATCTTTAATTGAGACCAGACTTTTTGACAAATAGGAGCAGGTTTCGCTTCAGATGCTTCATATTTCATTTTACCCAGACCACACTCAAGCCAACCTGTGTCAGGTGCAGCTACAACCAAGAACACAAGAGAATCTTCTTGTGTCTGACAGTAGATTTAACGCTGTTTCTTAAAAAACTTCAGTTTAAAAAAAGAGCTGATGTAACTTACTTAAAGAGCCAGTTTTATCTCATTTGTTCATGTGACAATGTTTCAGATTTGCCCACATTACAGAAAGGAGCAGCAAAAATAAAATTAAAAAAACATATAAAAGTAGAAAACAAGCACATTTAGGAGTCAGTACATAACCAGACTTTTGGCCCTCACACCTATACCCAGTTGCTTATGCTGCATGATGAGATCAGATTTATCCATATTTTAGAAATTAAATTTAGCTTATAGTGGACAAAACAATACAAATGAAGACTGTCTTAAAAAAACTCTTGGTTTTGCAGTAAGCAGCCTCATTTCAAACTGACATCTTGGCCAAAGATGAAATAAAAATCTTTGTGTTCTCAGAAAAGTTGTTTCAGGACCTCCAATAAACTTATGTACACATCAAAGCACACAAGACAGATTCAGGAATTCTCTTTGTTTTCCAGATTTCACATTTGTTATTACCTTAAAACATACTCAGACAACATTTGATGTATCATTGAATTTTTTTATTGTGTTTATTGGGACATCCATTTTTAGAAGTCATCGTAGCATCTGTTGGAAACACAAACCATAGTACAGTTAGGGTGTTGCTAGTTGTTACTTATTGTAATGTGTGGGCATCACAGTACAAGAGCTAGACTACTAACCCTGCATCCATGGCACAAAAGTGGGTGCAGTACCCAGGAGTAATGGCTTCACTGTAGAAGGCCCTCAGCTCTCCTCTTTTGCCACTGCCCCAAAAACCTGCACCACAATCTTTAAATTCTTCTCCACAGCTGAAGCAGACAGAAATTACATAAGGCTTTCTGTGCTCAGCCTGAAATACTTCAGGCTTCTTCGTTAATTTTGAAAGTCAACATCAGATGTTGGTCAAAGTTTTTGAGCAACATCTTGGGGTCTTCTAGAGTCAACCTGAAGTGAGAGTGGTTCCTGACATGGCAGAAAGACATAAATATAATTAACAGCTTTTATTTATTTATTTTTCAGCTAATAACAACTTTTATTTATTTGTTTTTCATATTTTTCAGTTATACACAGCTTTAAAATATTTATTTTTCAAGTATTAAGAACTTTTATTTTCAGCTTTTATTTTGAAACGCAACACACTGTTGTTGTAAACGTGCACAGTGAGAGCTGCTGGAGCCGAGTGGAGGCTCACTTTACCTCAGTGCGTTACCTGCATAGGAATTCCCCACCATGTTTTCACATGAGCTAAACTTGTAAAGCACGACAACAACGAGAGAACGGTCGAAACTATCGTGACCTACAATAAACGTACTTCAATAAAATGCATAAGTGAAAACATAACATGTTGTGTATATGTATATGTATGTATATATATATGTGTGTGTGTATATGTATATGTAGGTATATATATATATATATGTGTGTGTGTATATGTATATGTATGTATATATATATATATATGTGTGTGTGTATATGTATATGTATGTATATATATATATGTGTGTGTGTATATGTATATGTATGTATATATATATATGTGTGTGTATATGTATATGTATGTATATAT